TCCGTAGGATTTGAACTCTAGACCTGCCACTTGGAGAGAGTGACGACTAGACCACTACACTAAGTCGCCACACCTCACCAATTCATTTCTATAACAATATCTAACCCTATTAATTCTATTAACATCCTCATCTTTATCGATAGATCTTATTTTCATCTTTAAATCCATTTTACCTTCCCTATTTCTGTCACTTTCGTATCCAATTCTATTTCAATAACAATATCCAATTTCATTTATTCTATTAGTATTTCACATATTTGCTGATTTTTGACAATAAATGAACTCTTCATCTTTTTCAACTCGTTTACTATACCAATAACAAAAAGTTAAACCACAGGATCAATTTGAATATTTAAGCAACAATTGATAATACTATCTAGATCTGCTTTTTATATATTTAATCATGTATTGTAAATTATTTAAAAAGAAAAATTTTATATTCATGAAAAAACGTATATTACTAATTCAATTTTCTAAGAATAAATATAATATTTAATATGCAGTAAGTTATTCTACAATTACTTTACAGCAATTTTCAATAAGTTAAAAATTTTATAAAATTTTATATTTATCTATTGCACAATAAATACTTAATGATTATATAAAATTAATACACTATTTGGTTGATTTCTGATGATTTTTTTCAAATTTGCAGGTGATTCATTATATGATTTATTAAACAATAAATTGACAGAATATTTTCCTCTTGTTAAATCTCTTCTCATACATTAATATATTCTATTGTTTCATCTTCATAATAAGTATCTCCCTCGTGGTCTTCTTGATCATTCAAGTCATCAACTTCATTCAAGTAATTTTCATTATCATCACCTTCATTTGGGTAATTTTTATTATTATCTTTATTCGGATAATTTTTATTATCATCCTCACAACTGTCGTTACTTTTGTTTTCTTCGTTCAAGCTATTGCTGTCACTATCATCTTCGTTATTATTGTCATTATTATTTAGGGTTAAATCAACAATACTTTCATTATCGCTTGCATTGTCTACATCAATATAGATAAAATTACTATTATTATTTTAAGATTCTGGGTTAGCCACCCAATTATAATCAAATATTACATTTTCTTCGAACCCATCTTGAGTAGTGGAGAAGCTGCAACACTTAAATGACCATTTGATATGGTTAGGATCAACTTGGTCCCATGCTAGCTTTATCTATTTTGCCTCCAAATTATAAGCAAGTCGTTGAATACAACCTTTAGGGGTTAATTTTTTGATTTCTTCACCTATCCAATCGAGATAGTATTTGTGATACTTATTACAAAATTATGATAAAATTGTGTAACAATTTTTTTAATAAAAAAAATATATATATACTATTATCTTGTCTTTGAAAAACTTGTTAATATAAATATCTAATATTTGCAATTTTTTAGTAAGACCACCTAGAACAACTACAAAATTAGTATTTTTTTCACTAAACCAGTTTTTAACCGGGTCTGTAAAATAACTAGCAAATGAATCTATAACTAGTAATAAACGAGGATTAATAGACAAGGGAGCTCGATGTTTCCAAACATTTTCAATCCAGTAGATTATCTCATCCGAATTCATATACTTTTGCAGATTGGTTCATATAACAATACCTGATTGGAATATTTGTCTGGGCATATTAACTAATCTAAAAATTACCATGGGGGACAACTTTGTGCTATCTGCTAAACAACTTAAAACAACTATAAAGTTAGATTTTTCATATCCAGTTATATGAATTCTAACAGTATGAGCACCAGTTTCTTCAATTGTGTAATTGCTAGGCATGTTGAATACTAATAGTGTCTTATTCATATTTTCAATAAGTGAAAGAGGGTAATTGTAACACATACAGTAAAATAATATATAATTCAAGAATTCATTTTTTAAAGATTTTAGCTCCTCTGGCAACTTCTGTACAATAGTAGTACAATGTCTATTACTAAATTTATTTTGATGCATAAAACCAAAAAGCCATTTGTCACTCTATTTGCACTCATTGATTGTTGGGTAAACAGAATAATTTTGCAAATTGCTTTGCTTTGGTTCTAACTATATTTTAAGACACAACTTTTTGAGATAAATGTAAAGATTTAACTCAAGTTCTAAGCTCAACTTTCAAAAGCGGATATTTAGAACGTGAACCAGTATTTAACCGTCTAACAAAATGTGAAGCAATTTTTAATTCTTTTTTTTTTAATCCATTCACGCAGTTGCTTTGGTGTTATTTTAAATGTTTCTGCAGTGTGCCATTTGCTTGCTGTAGGATTTTTTTTAAGATATATAATGATAGCTAACTTTTCACATGCATTCCAACTTCTTTTTTTTTTTTTAGTAATTGTTGCTTGCTTTAAGTTTGCTTTATTTTTTCCCATTTTAATATCAATACTATGCTCAAATCTATAATATAGTTAATATATTAATAAAAGTAATAAAATTTACTTATTTTACTTATTATCTTTAGCTAGAAAAAACTTGTTTTTTTTTTGAATTATATTTTATAATATATAACAAATATATATATTAATTACACTTATAAGTCAATTATCATTATGCATAGTCTTTAATATCTGCAGCACTCTCATAATTGTGCTTTAAAAAATTATATAAATTACTAGCAAATAATCCATACAAACACAAATATTTATACAATGTACAAATTAAAGTCACAAGATTCCTTGAATTTCGTTATGTATTTAGTTTCAAAATAATTTAAGTTTCTAATTATGTAAAGTAATAAGATTAATACTTTAAAAAAATGAGTTTGTATTTAACAAATAGTAGAAAAAAAACTTACAAGAATGGTTTTGCACTTTTGTAGAATAATGACATTGTAGTCAAAGAAATTTTTTATATTTGTCCATAGTTTTTTATTTATTTTAACTATTTATTTTTTTTTGTCACTTTTAGATTTGACCATAGAGCCCTTGTATTGCCCTTTATTTATGAATCGTTAAGACAATAGAGCTAGCCTTAACTCCTAAATAAAATATAGGTCATCAGAACTAAATTCACAGATAATAAAATATTACTGTCTTTGTTATGTTGTATTATTTGCTATACTATGTTAAAATATTCGGAAGCTAAAGTATAATTCATATTATTATATACTTAAGTGTCAATAGCGCTATATATATACTAGATCCCTTTACATAAAATCTCTTCCGATTATCAGACCTATATCTGTACAATAGACCCACAGGTCTATTATCGGTTTTAAAATTAGTGAAATGTAACAGACCCAGGTCTTTTATATGACTGTTTACAGTATTAAATATTAATTTTTTTTTTATATTTCCCGTAAATTCTCAAAATAGCAAGCAAGGGCATTAATTCAAAAATTGTGCCCCCTAAAAATAGCATAGATAGTTTCAAAATAACACCTATACACGTTCTGAAATAACACGTACTTCCATATACGTATATATATATATTAATATCATATTATATATATAGTTTTAATTTACTTTATACTGATAATAAGCCCTCTTTTCTAAAATATTTTTAACGATCTAACAATCTAATGAACTCTAAGGATCTTTAATGATCTAATGAACTCTAGCAAACTCTAATGATCTAATGAACTCTAAGGATCTCTAACAATTAACAATACAGCATTTTTAAGAATTTATAGGTTTGGTTTTTTTTACTTTTTATAGTCAAGTTTAATTTACTATAATCTTTACTTCTACCTAGAAAATGCAATGCTTTCTTTTGCATAAATGTATCTTTCTATATCTAATTTAAGATGTTATAGTTTGAAACACCCAGGTGTTTAAAAAAATGCTTTACCATAAGCAAACATATACTAATGTACATGGCAGATAAGGTTTAGTAAAAAAACTCAACTTAATTTATTTTAGAAGACATATTTTTGCAGTCAGGTTTTATTGACCACTGAAATAATTAGCAGATTCAAAAAATTATTTGAATTCTTTTTTTTATATCTTTTCAGTATCTATACCAACTTGGTAATAAAATCCAAAGTGAAAATATCAAATAAAAGCAAATGATTTTGATAAAATTTATTGTAAAAAAATTTGATGGATCCCAATTTCTGGAATTTGGGAACAGAATTTTTAGTGACTTTCTATTTATTACTTTTTTTATTTGCAAATTATTATGATTTTTTTTTTTTTAGTTCACTAACAAATTTATTAATTTTAGAAACAATAATTAGTTTAATAAAAAGAGAAATAATATCTGATTAACAAATAAATAAACTTTACACTTACTATTTAGTATCAACAAATAAATATTGATGATAGTAGGTTGTTTTATAAATGAACTCATTTTAGTAGTTTGACATATATATATAAACAGAGAGGTAATATTAATAAATTCTATTAATGTTAAAATGTATAGATACTTATCATAGTATTTATCTATTATATCCACTGAATTTTCATTATACATCATACCACCGTCTATATCATCTATATCCATGCTATTTGTGTCCATACTATCTGTATCTGCATCTATATCATCTGTATCTATATTCATTATATTTTTATCCTCATTTTCTAAATACATACTTTCTTTATTTAATAATTTGTTACTTCAATATTATTTATATGGCTTTCAATGATTGTCTGGAGACAGTGCGATATCTTGTAATCTTTGCTACTATTAGAGTTTAAAATAAGACCAGTTGACTTAAAAGACTTAACCAAGACACTTGTATTAATTTCCTTCTATGTCTGAAATACCCATTCAGAAACAAGCTTACATATAAAGCTTTTTTGTAGTTTCCCTTTGCAGTAAATTTCTTTTTACTCTTTTCAATTCACTCCTTCTATTATTTTCTCATTCTACTTTTAAAAGGTTTGTTTACTAAAACGTCAGATAGCTGTAAAACTCTAGTCATTCCACCAGGTATATCCAAAATATCTAAACCTTCTCTATTCAATGCTTTAATCACATCATTATAGACGTGGCTAGCATGATGATCAACACAAACTATACTTTTATCTTTAAAGAATCCATTAGGTCTTGCTCGAATAACTTGGAAAATGTATATAAAAATCATTAAATCTCCTATCATATTAGTATGGAGTACTGTTGCTACTACAATGTCTTAAGAAAACTTGTCTCTAGGCTTTTTTTTTAATCTAAAAATCATAGTGGGTAAGAGCTTGTTTCCAGAAGCTGTATAACTTAAAACCATAGTAAATTGCATCTTTTTACTTTCTGTAGTTTTAATTGAAACCTCACAAGCACCTTAAAACTCAAGTGTTAAATTCTGTAGTATGTCAAACCATATCAGGGTTTCATTAAAAGAAATAATAAATTTTTTTTCTATATTTATAGTTTTTTTATATCACTTTTTTAGGAAATCTCTAACAACTATAGGCGTATTTTTGGGAAACTTCTGCATGGCTTGTGTATGAGCACGTTGTACCAGATTATGATAATGTTTAAAATATACAACCCAACTACGTAAAAACTGGGCATTTTTAATACCAAGAGTTTCTTCCAACTTTTTAGCTTTTCTTCTGATCATAAACATCATGACTACAATCTTTTCTTCCCATTTTTTTTAATAAATTCTAATAGCTCTTTTTCTAATACAGAGTATATAGCTTTTCAGCTACGACCTTCAAGAGCTCGTGTTTGACTTTTGTTTTTTATAGCTTTAAGTTCTGTTTTTTCTTTTTTCATTCTTGAAACCGTTTTTGGTTGATATTGTAAAACTGTGCTACACTATGATTAGAAATGTTTTCTGCATATTCTATTACCTCAAGTTTAAATATGATGGTATAATTTCTATTTTTGCAAACTTCTATGTTATCTATATTTATTTGTTAATAAAGCAGAAAATTTATTCGTGAAATACTCAAATAGTCCAATTTATATATATATAAGATTTAGTGTTACAAAAGAAAAAAAAAATTAAATTAAAATAAAATTAGAACTATAGTAGCCCCAGATCAATTTTATTAAATTACATTGAAATATTGTTTTTTTTTTATTAAAGTATAGTATAATAAAGAATAAAAAAATTAATTTTATAACGATATGCAAGCAGTTTTTAGTATTGAGTAAAAAAAAAAAAAAAAACTAACTGTAGTAATGCAAAGTCATATTGAAAGTAAAATATTTAATATTTATACCTAAACAAAACTAGTGATTCAAATAGAATTGAGTACAAAAGATATAGAAAAGGTGCTTTGATTATAGTGCAAATAAATTAAAGATAAATAAGAACCATTTTCAATAATATTTAAAATCAGTCTCGATTAAATAAGTTACAAGATATTTGGCGAACTTATTTTGTAGTTTTTTTATACTAAATCATATTATAGTGATAAGAAAGATATTCATTGATTTATTTTCACAAATCTTAAAGCACCAACATTCTTTAAACAAAAAAACCACAATAAATAATTGTTTGACTATTTGTTGGGCTGTATGATTGACAATTAAAATACTGCTTATAGGCATTATTTTAAAAAAATCCGGTTTCAAAAAATTAATCTATATATTCAAAATAACACCTATATATGTATTCAAAATAGCACGCCTCTGCCTGCTATTTTGAGAATTTACAGTATTTATTTTTTATTCTATTTTATTTTTTTATTTTTTTTTATTTATTTTTTTTTATTTTAGTTTTTTTATTTTAGTTTTTTTTTTATTTTTTTTTATTTTATTTTTTTATTTTATTTTTTTTATTTTATTTTTTTTATTTTATTTTTTTTTTATTTTTTTTGATTTATTTTTATTTTTAGTTTATTTTATTTTTTAGTTTATTTTTTTTGGTTTATTTTTTTTGTGTTATTTTTTTTTTGATTTATTTTTTTTAGTTTATTTTTTTTTGTGATTATTTTTTTTTAGTTTATTTTTTTTTGGTATATTTTTTTTTGGTTTATTTTTCTTTTTGGTTTATTTTTTTTAATTTATTTTTTTTGAATTATTTTTTTTTGGATTATTTTTTTTTTTTAGTTTATTTTTTTTTGAATTATTTTTTTGGATTATTTTTTGGATTATTTTTTTAGATTATTTTTTTAGATTATTTTTTTTAATTTATTTTTTTTTATTATTTTTTTAATTTTTTTTCTTTTTATATTTATTATTTTTTTTATTTTTTATATTTATTAAATATTAAAATAAGTATCTCTATTTTGATATAGTTAATGTTTATGATAAATATTCTGTAATTTACTAAACAGAACTAAATGATTTTAGTACTATTTGATTTGCCTTATTGAGGCAAATCAAATAGCACCAAAACTATTAAATTTCAATTACTATATTACAAGATATTATTCATTAAAGTTTGGTTAAAAAAATGTTCTTAATTTGATATAATGTCTAATTTAACACAGGTAAATGTTTATGATAAATACTATATGATGTAGTAATTTTTTTTTTTTTGTTAAGTATCTGAAGACTAGAATTTAGATATTAAAATTAATTAACCTTGTACAAATTGTATTTATAGTGATAAATTTAATCTAACTAGTCTATACCCGACATATTAAATAACTTTAGTATCTTTATATCCAGCACTGCTATCTACTTTATCTATTATCAGTAAACTTTCAGCCCAAACTTTCAGTCTTATCTAAGATGGGCATAGACTGCATATGCTTGTGATATAGTAATTAGATTTGCAAGATTTTGGTACTATTTAATTCATTTCATCAAGACAAATTAAACAGTATCAAAATCTTGTGAATTTAATCACCAGATCATATGTATTTACTATACTTGTATCAAATTAGATATATCTACTTTGAACTGTTTTGGCTAAATAGAGTATTTTGAGAACTATCAATCAAAACTAAATGATTTTGGTACTGTTTGGTTCATCTCAATGAAATAGATCGAATAGTACCAAAATCATATAGTTTTAATTAATAGTTTACAAGATATCATTATATATCAAATTAAAAACTATATCATATTAAGTATATTTACCTTATATTTAATATTTTTATTTATTAAATAATTTAATACTTTTATTTTTATTTAAACAATTTTTATTTTACTTTATATAGATATTAGTATCTTCTAACTATTTAAACTTTTTTTTTATTTAAGACTTTTTTTTTATATTTAAATGATTCTGCCTTTATTTATATAAGCTGTTATAAAATTTATATACACGAATGTACTAAATCCTTACAACTTGTAGCTCTAACTCAATAAAAACTCACCAGGTTAAACTCAATATGACCTGCTATAACAACTATTAGTTTTACTTGGGATCCAAAACTTACTTCAGATTTCGATCGTTAAAATGATACTTTCCTCAATCATTAACAGACTGTCGTATATTACATTAGGATCTCTTTTTTCCTTTCTAATTCTTTCTTCTTCTCAAGAAGCATAAAACAAAAGGAGAAAATTTTTAAAAGAAAAATATAAAAACAACCAGAAAAAAAAAAAACAGAAAAAAAAAAAAAAAAAAAAATGGCAAAAAAGAAAAAACAGAAAAAAAAAAAAAAAACCGGAAAAAAAAAATAAAAAAACATGAAACAAAAGAAAAAAAATTTCAAACAAAAAATAATAAAAATGACTAGAAAAAAAGAAAAAACAAAAAAAAAAAAAAAACACTAATTGCAAAAAAGAAAAAACATGAAAAGAAATCTAAAACCCTGAAGACACTATTATAATCTATGTGTAGCTGATAAAAATTATATAACAAATACAACATTTGTATATTTCTACTATAAAGCTTTGCTTTAACATTAAATTTACTTTTTGACCTTTTCAACAACTCCGGATAGCTCTGTTGTCTGAGAGTTCCCAGGCTGAGTCTTGTGAAGTAGCGCAATATTCATCTATAAACAAACATGTGGTTGCATTTTACTAATTCGTCCAAATTTGGGAAGTAAACAATGCCAATCTTTTGGAGGAGATAAGCCAAATCCTCCACTTTTTGTAAAAAATTTTGGAAGGCTGGCAGAAAAGCAGACATGAGTAAGATAGGAGTCATTTGGCCAAGTAAAAGTGTGCAGTTTAAGAATAGCAAGTTCTTCACTATTTCCCAGTTGCTTCACAACAGTTTGCTTTTTTAGTAGAAGAAACCATAATCTCCACCAAAATTTCATATACAAGAGCACACTTCCCAGCTAGTTATCTTGTATAAAGACACTTTCGGCTTGTATGTCGAATATATTAAAGAAGTTTCTGTAAAGTACAAAAGGTTGACCTTTATAAAAACCGCTTCTGTTGTCTATCTACTATAGGTATACTCTATTCTCCAGTATCCAAACTTGACTTTTCTTTTGTGGGAAATTTTGGTCCAAGTGATTGTCAGAAAGAGTTGTATGATTTAAGACTTTTTTAGCAACTAAGTTTATTAATATTTGCTATATATTTTTAAATTCAAAAATCTAAACATATTTAAAAAATTACAAAGAGGTGTAGTGACTTAGTGTAATGGTCTAGTGGCACCTTCTCTAAGTGGCAGGTCTAGAGTTCGAATCTCACAAACGACAAATTTTGAAAAATAGATCTGTGTGGCAATTCTTGTATTACAGTTAATAGTTATAATTATTGGTTGGATCTTAGATAAATCTGTAACTTTGGTCATACCATTTAGTAATAGGAGCAATAGCACAATAAATCCAAGGAATTGGCATAACTAAAAACTCATTTGGGAAGTCCTGAATTTGGAGGTAATAGTGATCTTCGATGGTACTACAGGAGGGCTGAATTTGAACTGGGCCCAAGATCGGAGAACTAAGCGATTAGGTCCTTAAGTGAGGGGATACACCAGCCGAACCACCAGGCTGATGCACCAGAGGAAAAGGGCATACGCTTCGAAAGTATGAACCAAGAAGAGGGCATCCTTTAGACACCTAAAGCCTAAGCAAACCAACCCGTCCGGGTTGCCAGCTGGAAGTAAGAGAAAGACCGATAAAGAATCCGAGTAAAAAGACAGTTCCAAATGTGGGTACTGGAGTTGTTGTAAACTGAATAAGGGCAAGAAGTACATCAGCAAATTTAATAGGGCGTAATATTGCGCAATAATTTACGAAGTGTAAGAAAATCGTAATATTACGTAAAAACTTTTGCAATATTGCGAAATAT